TTTCCACATTGAATTCAACATCTAACATTACATTAGATGGGAATTGGGTATCTTAATATGAAAGATTTTAGGTGGACTTTAAACCCATCCCCACAGCCGCCTTGTGCACAAGATCTCTAGCTAACCCTTTGGTTAGATGATCGGCTAAATTCAACTGAGTTCTCACAAACTCYACCGATATCACACCATTCATGATGAGCTCACGAATCATGCTATGTCTAACACCTAAATGTCTAGACTTCCCATTATATACTTGACTATAAGCCTTAGCCAAGGTAGCAACACTATCACACCGGATAGAAATGGTAGATATCGATTTGGGCCATAATGGAATTTCATATATCAAATTCCTTAGCCACTCAGCTTCTTGACCAGCTGCAGCCAATGCCACAAATTCAGACTCCATTGTTGAGTATGTAATACAAGTCTGTTTCTTGGAAGCCCAACAAATGGCACCTCCTCCAAGAAGGAAAACCCAACGACTCGTAGAAGAGTGATCCTCCAAATTTGTAATCCAGCTGGCATCTGAATAACCTTCTATAACCGAAGGAAATCTATTATATGTCAAACCATAATCCATGGTTCCTTTCAAGTACTTGAATACTTGCCTTAAAGCTTGCCAATGATGTGAACTAGGATTACTAGTATACCTACTAAGCTTTCCTACAGTATATGCTATATCGGGCCTAGTGCTAATCATGGCATACGTAAGACATCCTATAGCTCTTGAGTATTCAAGCTAAGACACTGGAACACCTTTATTAGGTAGAAGCTTAAGATTAGGATCTATTGGAGTGCTAACAGGAGAACAATTTCCAAAGTTAAATTTTTTCAATATCTTCTCAATATAATGAGATTGRGAAACTGAMATTCTATTGTTTYCTTGTTTGATTCTTAATCCAAGAATCACCTCAGCCTCCCCCAGGTCTTTCATATCAAAACTAGATGACAAGAACTTCTTGGTTTTATCAACTTGATCTTGATCAGTACCAAAGATCATCATATCATCTGCATATAAACAAATTATAACTCCTTTACCAGAAGTATCAAATTTGCTATATACACACTTATCAGCTTGGTTTAGTGCAAAACCATTAGATAAGACCACATCATCAAACTTTTGATGCCATTGTTTTGGTGCTTGTTTCAGACCATACAATGACTTCTTCAACTTGCACACCTTGTAATCATTTCCAGGCATCACAAACCCTTCAAGTTGTTTCATGTAAATTTCCTCATCCAATTCACCATTCAAGAATGCAGTTTTTACATCCATTTGATGAATTACAAGATTATGTATAGCTGCAAGAGCTAACAACAATCTAATTGTGGAAATCCTAGCAACAGGAGCATAAGTATCAAAGAAGTCAATACCTTCTTTTTGCCTAAAGCCTTGGATAACCAACCTGGCTTTGTACTTATCTATGGTACCATCCATTTTCATCTTTCTTTTGAGGATCCATTTACATCCTAATGCTTTGCAACCAGGAGGCAAATCAGTTAAAACCCAGGTATTATTATGCATGATAGAATCAATCTCATCCTGTATTGCTTCTTTTCAGAAAGCAACATCCCTAAATGCCATGGCTTCACTAAAAGTCTTTGGATCCTCCTCAATAATAAAACAATATTGATGTTGAGACACAGTCTCATCTCTTGTTCCTTCAACTAGATAAATTTGAAAATCAGATCCAAAAAACTTAGCTTTTCTAGCTCTAGTGCTTTTCCTAGGTTCAGATGGTCCAGGTACAGAATCTGTACCACCACACACATTTTCAGCTTGAGTTGTAGTTTTGCCGGAATGAATCATGTCCCTTGGTCTAGGTATAGATGTAAATCTTTCTTCATCAAATATAGCATCTCTTGACTCTATAACAGTGTTAACTGACACAGAGTCATTAGATTCTATAACATAGAATCTATATGCTTTGGAATGCTCAACATACCCAATGAAGATACAATTTATACCTTTCCCACCTAAGTTTTTCCGTTTGGGTTCAGTGAACCTTACAATTGCTCTACAACCCCAAACTTTGAGATAACTCAAACTTGGTACCTTTTTATACCAAATTTCATAAGGGGTGTTTTTACTCCTTTTATTCGGAGTTCTATTCAATATATAACAGGCTGTCAACATAGCCTAATCCCAAAACCCATCACTTAGGCCTGAATACGACAACATGGAATTAACCATTTCCTTCAAGGTTCTATTATTCCTTCCATCCACACCATTTTGCTCTGGTGTGTAAGGAGTCGTGGTTTGATGTATTATACCAGTAGACTCAAAATAAACTGGATCATAATACTCACCACCTCTATCAGTACGCAAAACTTTTATCAACTCATTTCTATGTAGCTCTACTTCTTGTTTATAAATTTTAAATTTATCAAGAGCTTCATCCTTTGTGTGCACCAAATAGACATAACAATATCTAGATGTATCATCAATAAAAGTAATGACATACTTTTTATTTCCTAGTGAAGGTGTAGCATGAAAATCACATAAATCACTATGAATGAGTTCTAATACTTTGCTTTCTCTTTTAACATCCTTAAAAGGTTGTCTAGTAATCTTGGTTAACATGCAAGTTTTACACTTTTCATTATTCATGTCAAAAGCATGTATTAAACTCATTTTAGACATATCCTTTAACCTTTTATAATGAACATGTCCTAGTCTAGCATGCCATAAAACAGATTTACTTAAGTTATTGCTAGTACTAGATGTCATCATGCAAATCGAGTTAACATAAGAAGGATAATCTAGATTCAACCTAATCATACCATTACATACATAGCCAAATCCAACAAAAGTACCATGTCTTGACAAGATATACTTGTCACTTTCCAACACTTGTTTGTAGCCACACTTATTCAACACAATTTCAGACAAGAGGTTCTTTCGAATCCCCGGTACATACAATACATTGTCTAAACATAAACACTTTCCAGATGTGAACTTAAGTAAAACACGTCCTAATCCCTTGATTGATTCCGTTGCAACGTTTCCCATCTTCATGACAGATCCATCTTCAATTGGTTGACATTCTTTAAACCAACGAAGATCCTTGCAAATGTTGCACCAGAATCAACCCACCATGCAACATCATCATCCTGCACATAATATGCCTCAGAAATTACAGAAATATAATTCTGAACATTATTTAGATTGTGCACTAAATCACAATTCTGACCTTGTTGCTTTCCTGGATCCTTAGACCCACTTAGACCAGCCCCATCTTTGTTCACATTACAAACACGACAATCCTTCTTGAAATGACCAGGTTTACCACACCTCCAACATACCAATTTAGACTTTTTGTTGGAAAACTTGTCATCTCCACCTTTGTGTTTCCGTTTGTTGTTTTTAAACTTGTTGGAATACTTGGACCCATCCCCTTCCACCATGTTCACAGAAGAAGAACCAACTTGATTCTTACCTTTAGGATTATTGTCAAGTTCTTGAGTCCTCAAAGACTCTTCAATCCTAAAGTGACTTCCAAGTTGAACCAGAGTCAATTCTTCCTTCTTGTGTTTCAGAGTGTGTTTAAACTCTTTCCAGGAAGGAGGCAATTTGTCAATAATCATAGCAACCAAGATGGCTTCATCCATCTTCAGATTATGTTGGACAATTTGTCCCAGAATCCTCAACAATTCATGAAATTGTTCCATGTCAGACTTGGTATCGACCATCTTGTAATTCATGAAATTACCGACCAGAAACTTCTTGGTAGAAGCATCTTCTGCCATATACTTGGATTCCAGAGAATCCCATAGTTCCTTTGCAGATTCAACATTTTGATAAACATCAAATAAAGAGTCGGACATACCGTTTAAGATGTGGCCACAACATATGTAATCATCGTTTTCCCATTTCGATCTCCTCCTTGACACTTACAGAGTTTCATCTTCAACGTATTCAGGCACAGGGGTACTCAGAACGTACACCACTTTCAGGGTAGTCAGGAGGAAGTGCATCTTCTTCTGCCATCTACGGAAATCTTGCCCTTCAAAATTCGACAGTTTATCGAATTTGCTTGTCATGTCTTTCACAAATTCTTTGTCAGCCATTTTCACAGAATACTTCAATCTCTGTTCGAAAAACTTTTCTTGGAATTCAATGAAAGTCGTTTATCACTTTTAGATTGAAGCATTTCGACGGTACAATCGAAATCTCAATCGGATAAAATTCAGTGATTGACAGAACTTCGAATCCAAAATGTTATGAATCTGTGTACCTCTCTCTAGACGAAAAATGACCAATTCGAAGTTTGAAAAGTGCGAAAACTGTCAAAATCGGCAGTTTTTTGCACCCTAAACCGGGTTTAAAAACCGGGCCAAAAACCGGGTTTAAAATCTAAAATTCGGATTTCTGATGCATTTCCAAGCTGCCTCCGAACCCCCGTCGTTTAGGGGCTTCGCCACTAAATCAAAATAAACTCAAACAAGTGTGCACTCCGCACCTTCCTTACTTGTTCGATATTTATCATGATTACATTGGTCAACAAATTAATCCCATTACACTTAAATGATATTAGTGATACAAATGTCCATCATATACAAGGCGAACAGGTGTGATGGTTCACAAACAGAGACGGTTGGAGATGGTGGTTAATAAACCGACTATTTGAGGAGGTACCAACTGCTAGAAATCCACGTTTAGCTTACTTCAAACACTGTTTGTAACCTATGCTTTAAAGCAGTGGAACCTCGTTATATGCTTGTGTTGTTATTTTGTTGCTTTGATTGCTTGATATTATTGTCGGTACACATTGTATATCGTTAGCTGAGTTTTTCTTTCTGCATTCGGTTGTTGGGTGGTTTGCGCACATTTGACTTAACTATTGGGACCCTTGTGTGTTGGATCTCTGTATAAAATCTCAGTATATAGTTCCTATTTGCTTAACTAAATACTTGATGGATGAAGAAGAATGTTATTGAATGTATAATTTTCAATTTTATTTATGTGTCCTTTCTTGGGAAAATGAAATATATTGCAGATGCCCATTAGAGAAGCTTGCCATGTTGCTGTGCAAAGGATTCAACCAGGTAAACAGAGGCTTTGGAAGCATGCACAGGCTCGCCAGCAATCCAAAGGACAAGAACGAACACCCGTGCTCCAAATTGTAAGTTTAACTAATCTTTTACCACTGGTACATGCTCTAATAATTTTGAGAAGGTGTTTCAACACTACAAGAAAATTGTCCCTTTTGACAGATGAATCCATTAAAAGAAGGTCAAAGCCAATCAACAAAGTGATCGAAACTGATGGTAAAAAAATTCTGACGAAACTGATGGTAAAAAAATTCTGACGAATAAACTGTTCAAGATGGTTGAAATCAACCAAAAAAACCTATTTTTCTAAAAAATGGCACGATCTTTAATGTGGGTTTGTGAGATCAAAGGGAGCATACCTCTTTTTGGAATATTTGGAAGCCTATAAACATTATAAATATGGAATGGATCACTGAAACTGGATTACTTTCTGTCTATTGCATCAACTAAAACTTATAACTTGGTAGGTAACAAGAACCTCTTTAGAAATATATGTTTTTTCTGAAGTGTTTGATCGTTGCAGGTGTCATATGGGTCAGAGTTAAGCAACCGTGGTCCAACATTTGACATGGACTTATCCGATTTTATGGATGCCGGACAACCAATTTCGTACGAGAAGGCAAAACATTTCTTTTCCCAAGATACATCACAAAGGTGTTCCTTCTTCAGTTTTTCTCGTCGTTTCTCACTTTTCAGTGATATGGTATATACTAATATGGTTTTTTTAAAGATGGGCTGCATATGTTGCTGGTACCATTCTTGTTTTAATGAAAGAATTAAATATGCGCTTCGAGAGCAGCATCAGCGTGCTGGTACATCAGTGAATCCAATTCTAAATCTTTTTATGTTTCTCAGATGTCAATTTTTTAGAATATTATCCAGACGGTTTTTGAAGCTTTGTTGAATAAATAAACAGGTTTCCTCAGCTGTTCCAGAAGGCAAAGGTGTTTCTTCTTCTGCCTCTGTGGAGGTAGCTACCATGTCCGCTGTAGCTTCTGCTCATGGTAATACTGATACTTCTCTTCCACCTTTAATATGGTTCGTCTTAAATGTGAGAAAAGACAAGCAAAAGAGGAACACCTTTAATATGTACTTTCACGTTGAAACCTTTAGGAGGCGTTTACCAAACGCTTACTGTGTGTGACTTACCTTCCGAATGAGCACTGCAAGGACCTAGAATCTTGCCTAGTAAGTGAGAGAGAAGAATCTTACCCAGTAAGCGCTTGGTAAAACAATGCTTACCAACAATCTGTTTTGATGACTGAGAATGTTAACCGATAAGGTAAGTGATGGTGGTGATCTTGTCGGTAAGTGCTTACCTGGTAAGCATTTGGTAAACGGCCCTTTAATTTATTTCTAGCCAGAAGGCCAGGGATTCGAGTCATAGAAACAACCTCTTCAGATTCAAAGGGTATACCACATACCAAGACTTCCCTTACTAACCCTCACAAAACCGAGGAGCCATACTGCACTAGGATCACTCTATGATATACACAATTGTATGCATATTTATCATATATAAAATCATATGCCTTAAAGATGTACAACGATAGAGAATTTGAGATGTACCTCATCTTTGCCTCCCAGGAAAAAATATCGGTCCAAGGGATCTTGCTTTGCTCTGCCAAAAGGTATAAGTACTTGAATAACATGGCGGTTAATACTTTTTGGTTATAAGCATCGGCCCCTCATCTAGTGGCATTACTTATTACTACAGGTGGAAAATTATGTTGTTGGAGCACCATGTGGTGTAATGGACCAAATGGCTTCTGCTTGTGGTGAAGCAAATAAGCTTCTTGCAATGGTTTGCCAGGTACATTATATTTATAATTTGAAGATAATCTTTTCCCTGATATTCGCCATGATCATAAGATAATTTGGTATCAAAATCTTCTGCAGCCTGCTGAGGTATTAGGGCTAGTGGATATTCCTAGTCATATACGGTTCTGGGGAATCGACTCTGGTATAAGGCACAGGTATTCAGGTCCCATTACTCCATTTTCCATTTGGTGGTCCGTTCTCATTTCTCCTATCAAGTAAATTGAATCTAAAATCACATTTTCTATTTCTTTTGTGCCATATAAATGGGATCTGCAATATAAAAATGTCAAGTAGCCTATGATCTTTCTACTCAAATACTTCAGAAGATGCATCACCTATACTTTGATATATTCAGCAATATTTGCATTGCATGCTCTTGATGATCAAAATTAATTGTCTGTGCTACAGTGTTGGGGGTGCTGATTATGGATCTGTGAGGGTAGGAGCTTTTATGGGCCGAAAAATTATCAAATATATCGCATCTACTATGGCTTCACAAGCATCTTCAAACAGTAATGGGGCTAATCCTGAGGAGTTTGGACAGCATGACATTGGCTTGCTTAAGGCTGAAGCCTCTGTTGATTATTTGTGCAATCTGACCCCACACAGGTATGTATTTAGCCATATATCTAACTCTGAAGTCTTTTTTATGTTTCATATGGTTAGCTTTCCTTATTCTATTTTGCTTAGGTTCCTTGCACAAAGATGCCTTTATGAAAAACTTGGGAAACCACACCCGAGGGTGATAATTTTGCAGCCTGCCCATTGGCAATCCCCTAGTAATCCACTAGCAATACAGAAGAGAGAATTTGAACTACAAACTTGTGGATAATCCTACAACTAGTTCCAACTGCGCATTATTCACCGAAGACTATATCAATGTCCGTTAGTCAAGAAAAGAGTTCTTTGTTGTTTAATTAGTTACCATCTTCAGTTTCATGGATGATTATCCTCCTCCATATTCTACTATGGTTTGAATTGAACCAGTGGTTTAATACTAGGGGGTGTTTGGTTTGATGGAATAGTTTTGAGGGATTTGGATTTCGTGGAAGAATTTGGAATTGGAGGGATTTGGATTTGGAAGGATTTGGAATCTTTGGTGTGTTTGGTTTGTAGGATTTAGGATGGAACTGAATTCCATTTTCTATAAATAACTTATAGAAACAAATTACAAATAATAATAAAAATAATTAAATTATCTTTTTCTTAAATGATTATTACAAAACAAATGTTTTTAACATATTTTAAAGCATTATTATATACAAATCCTACGAAGTCCCATGAAATACCAACCACTCCCATGGGAGATCTAAGGGGTATTTGGGTGAGTATTCTACCTATGCTGAAATTCTTGATTATCCACCTCAAGCATCGTTTTAGTTCACATAAACCAATTCTAATCCTCTAAGCTATAGATTTTTTGATTTACAATGTCTAGCAGATGCGGGACTCCCACATGTCCCCTTCAACGGGGGATAGATGGAGACAATGCTCCAGAGTGTCGAGTCTCTTTTAGAGGTACACCCTGCCTCTGATACCATATGAGATATGTGGAACCTGATTAGCTTACTCTTTAAAAAAGCCACTGAGAAGAGAAGAAAGGTTCCAACATATATAGAGGAGAAAGGGACCGTGTCTAGCCAATGTGGGACTCTGACACAATGATGGATAAGACTAGAGAAAAGGTTGGGTTAAACCAAAGGGAAGAAGTGCACTCTTTGAGGTGGTTTGTTCAGTTGAAGACCTTCATATGCACATACTAGAAGGAGACCACTGTCGATAAGAGATCATTTTGATAGTGGTAGAGATCAACCCAAGATATGGGTCTGGATGGTCTAGCCGTCTAGACAATCGAGTCTATATTTATTTTGTGAGCGATAAACGTAAAAGAAGGAAACTAGGTATTAAATAGACATCCCTAGCTCAAAGGAAATTCTTGCATATATATACTTGCATCTTCTTTCTAAGGCTTATGTTGTTATGCATAAGTGATCCTTAATGATGCATTTATGGAAGCATCAGTCTTCATTAGTTTCATGCATGTAGCATAAGTTTGTAAGTTTCTTATTCATTCCTTGCAGATTTGAACATATATACGCTAAGAATCTACCCAAATCTCTGTCCGGCGAAGAGTTTTTGAAAAAGTATAAGGATCATAATGATTCAGCCACAGTGATCGATGGGAAACGTGCTTATGCAGTCAAAGCAGCTACTAGACATCCCATATATGAGAATTTCCGCGTGAAGGTTAGTTAGTAATTTGAATTTCTTTTTCTTTTCTTTTTCATTTTCATACACATGTTCTCCCTCTCTCTCTCTCTCTCTCTCTCTCTCTCTCTCTCTCTCTCTCTCTCTATATATATATATATATATATATATATAATCTTTAAAACAACAATGTGGGCAGGCCTTCAAAGCACTACTAACATCATCTCCATCAGAGGAGCAACTGATTGCTCTTGGAGAACTATTGTATCAGGTACTTGTTACACAAACAATCATTAAGTTATAGATATATATACTGACCCATTGAGCATCTTTTTAAAGATAGAAAATGTTTATGCTGATATATGAGAATAATCATATTGATGTATTATGCATGCAGTGTCACTATAGCTACAGTGCTTGTGGATTAGGATCGGATGGGACGGACAGGCTTATTCAATTGGTGCAAGAAATGCAGCACAGTAGATCAACGCCGACGGAGGGAACGTTGTATGGGGCAAAGATCACTGGTGGTGGCTCTGGTGGCACCATTTGTGTCCTTGGCAAGAATAATGTGCAAAGCAACCAACATATCACTCAGGTTAGTTTACTTTTTATCCGCAACATACCGATCCTTAGGTTTTTTATGCCCCCGGGTAAAAACATCCAAAAATGCCCTCTCAAAGAAACAAAATATGAACAAAATTTCAGCAAAAACAACTTTAGTTGCGTGGCAAATTGAAAGGTTGCAAGTTCGAGTCTACTTAGATACAAATTTTTCTATTAGATTATTCAGTAGCAAGGTTTGATGACCTTTAGGCCGGGCTTTTATATATATATATATATATATATATATAAATGAAAATTAAACTCACTATATTTGTCATATTTGGTGAGACTTGAACCGCTGGTCTCCAAGAAGATTGGGATATGGGTATGCTAGACCAATGGTCTTTTGGTAAAAGAAAATTGAAATAATTTTGTTCATGCATGTATTATAACTATTTCATGCATGATTCTTGATTATTTACTTGTGTTCTTGTGATACCATGATGGATTTATTTCTTTATGTGCAGATTCAAAAGAGCTACCAAAATGCAACAGGTTACAAGCCATTTGTGTTTGAGGGTTCATCACCCGGTGCCGGAAAATTTGGTTATTTAAAAATCCGCAGTCGTGTCATTCCCAAGCAAAATAAGAAATAAAAAAAATGATTTTTTTTATTTAGTTTAAATCCATCAATATTCTTGAGAAAATAAAATCCTTGGGTCTTGTAGGTACGATTTTATGTTCCACTTCTTGTATGAATTCTTCAGATTTTTATATATTTAAGAATAAATTTTTGACACATTAACTAGTGTAATTTAATTATTAGAGTCATGTATCGGTTAGACTTGAACCATAACGTTTCTATATATGTTGCAACATTTTTTCTCTCCTCAAGGGATCTTTCGGAGAGTAAATCTGGCGTTTCCACATATTGTTGTTTGATATCAGAATCCAAGGTCTACCACTCTACGGACTCGACACTCTAGGACAATTTGTGCGAGTTTAGCCTCCATTGGAGGTTGCGTGTTGGAGACTTGGAGTTCCATCGGCTAGATGAGAACATAGTCAAAATAAGAAGACATGAAAACGGCTAAGGTGGCGCATCTACAATAAGCGGATCTGTATTGGTGTCATATGAAGCCTAATTATCCTTGAGTTCAATTGCTCAAAATCAGGGATATCATAGTCGATGATTTTTCCATTTTTAAAATTTACAAGATTAATTATATTTGGGGTTTGAACCCTTGGTTGATCATTATTTTTAGATTTTGTATCATCATGTACATCATCTTGATTTGGTGGTCCTTGTGGAAAATCCTGAAATTGTGGTATAAAATCAGGTGGTCGATTTTCCAAAGCGGTGGTGGCTGAGGTGGCGGATCTGCAATAAGTGGGAGAAGTAACGCCATATTGGGAGGGAATAGAACAAAAATGCTTTTTGTGCCCTCTTTCTTTGGCGAAATGTTCTCTCAATATCAAGATCAAATTCGAGAAACTCCATGTGGTGTATCATTGGCATACACCGCTTCCAAATGATTCAAACAGTGTTAGAAAAATTAAATCTTTTATTTTACTCTTAAAAAAGAACTTTTAGCTTGTCAATCCCCGACAAAGGCGCCAAAACTTGACAAGAGCTTTTATACACCCACAGACTTAGTAATCAAGACCAAAAGCAAATATATAATTAGTCTCAATACCGTCTTTCAAGTAATAAAGTGGTATAGAATACCAAGTATCATCTACAAGGATCGTAGTAAAAGCTTAGCGTTAAACTCGTATTTAAATGTTATCGATGTTAAAGTTTTAATTACACAAATATGTGTGGCTTTTGGTTTAGATACGGCTATGGATAATTATTTTTCAATGAAACAAAAACGTTTGTTTAATCGTAATTTTCAAGATTTATTTGATCATTACAAACATTTTTATGGAGGAAGAAACCAATTGTGGGTTTGCGGCTTCTAGTTCTTCTTCTAATGGTCATCGACAAAGTCGGAAATAGTTTATGACTAATTTAATGAACGAGGTTTCAGATGAATCAAGTAAAAGAAGTCGATTTAATAACGATTTGTGTGAATTAAATATGTATGTGCATACTAACTTTATGGCTGCATGCTCCGCAAATGATGTCGAAGATTTTGAAAAAATTGCTCTATCAAATTTTTTGAAACAAAAACAACCTCAATTCCCGGTTTTGGCATGCATCGCATGTGATATACTAACAATCCAAGCTATTACCATAACTTTGGAGCCTGTTTTTTCTCTTAATGGCAAGATCATTTCCATACTTCGGACAAGATTAATTAAGCTTGGAGTCTGCTTTTTCTCTTAATAGCAGGATCATTTCCATACGTCGGACAAGATTAAGCCCGGAGTCCTTGGAGTGTTGCATCTGTTTGAAGGATTATTTGGATAACGTTGATAGAATTCAACACACGACATCATTAGAGATGGAGTTTGAAGCAGTGGAAGAAAATGAAATCACCATGAGACTAAGCACGCCGCCAACTACCGATACCGACGACACTTACTCACAATATAACGATGATGAGGAACTCGACATTGATGACCAAGAAACTATTAGAAGAATTCAAGACCCCGGAACTCTTCGAATCAATCCAACATGAGATACCGATGATGAGTGATGAATAAATGTATTTTCAAATAATTTTAAATAATGTATTTTTGTAAAACAATGTAATTTTAATTATAATAAAACACATTTTTAAAGTGTATTTGAGTGATCCAATTACAAATTTTATAATGTATTAAAAATATATATCATTGAAAAAAAATTAAAAAATATTTTTTAATGTCGGGACCGGCGATCATAACCTGTTGTGAAGAACCATGGCCGGTCTTACCATTTTCGACCAGGACCGGTTCCAGTTCTGCCATGATCAGTTATGGCGATCATAACCGGTAGTGAAGAACCCTCAGGGGCTGTTTGTTTGGCTCTTAATGGTGACATTAAGAGTCAACCTCTTAATCGCTAAGAGGTGAGGAGTGTTTGGCAAAAAAAAAAATAAGGCTCTGAATGGTTACATTTTCCCTCTTAACCATTTTGCATCTAAGGGGTCTCTCAACCATTCAGACTTCTCTTTTTCCATATTTGCCCTCTCTTCCATCATCCTCACACATCGCTCACAGCCCCTCCTCCAGACCTACGATCGCTGCCGCCTCGTACTCTCTCTACCCACTGCCGTCTCCACTCCCTTGTTCGTTGCCATTTTCCGTCACCGACGACAACCGGCCGACAAACAGCCCCTATCTACGATCTCTCTGTTTTGACCGTCATCGTCTTCACCATCTCTGGATCTCTTGAACCCGTCGCCTTCGTCCCCTTCCCCACTTCGGCCGGTTTTCGCCGGTGACCTCCATCGTCTCCATCGTCGGCGACCTCCATCGTCTCCATCGCCGGCGACCTCAGTAAGTTAATAGTATGCAAATCAAACCCAACCCAAAAACCTAAATCAAACTCTACCATCCCTGTTCGTGTCAAGACCCTTCGATGGAGTGGGAAGTTAAAGGAAAAGCATACCTGGTTGTTTGAAATCGAACCCGTCACTTGAATTTAAAGGAAAAGCATATCTGTTGGTTTGGATTAATGGGTTTTTGTTTGATGAGGGTTAAAATGGTAATTTATTGTCATTCAGAGAACAGTTATCAAACAACATTATTTCATTCAGCACTTAACCATTCTGACCCTCTTAACTATTCTGCACTAAATCATTCAGCAACTGCCAAACAGCCCCTGAGACCGATTATGACCGATTTTTGGCCATCACTACCTGCATTGATCCGGACGAGGTACATCTCTTAGAGGGGAAGGTGTCATTTTGACGGCTAAAAGACGATGTTTATTTTATTTTATTTATTAACTATATTAATAAATAAAACCGATTAAATACAAAACTCTATAAAAAAAATTAAAAAGTTAAAACTCATCTAAGAAAAAGCCATTCATGGTGCAATTACGACCGCTTACTGAAACCTCACGAGAAACCTTTCATGAAAAAACTTCACTCTCTTTTAGAGTTTCCATTTTTAAAAAACCTTCCAAAAAGTTGTCGAAAACCACACTGTTGATGTTATAATTGAAGATATCAAAAGTAAACCCTAAAAAACGGGGGTGACTGAATGTTCGATGAGGGAAACTATAGGGCTGTTGGTGAAATTCTTCAGAGATGAATTTTGTCATGTAACCAATCAGCCATGGCCAATTCTTCCAAGCTTTGCGAATCTTTTTCGATCATCGAATTTGTTTGTTGATTTGATTGATCGTCACGGATTATTTATCTGAGCAATAATCGCAGCATGGCGTCGGCGAATTCGGTTCCAGTAGGAGTAAGCAGCGGTGGTAATGCAAGTAGCAGTTGTGGATATAATGTCTTCGTTTACGGCAGCCTATTAGCCGACGACGTCGTTCGTGTCCTCCTTCGTCGCATTCCTCAAAATTCCCCTTCCACCCTTCACGGCTAGTCAGTGTCTCGATCTCTCTATCTCTCAATAATGTGTTCTGTTGATTGAATCTATTTTCGTGTTCATATGGCTTTGAATTTTATGTTTTCGTGTTTAGAATTTCCTGTTGAAGACTTGCAACGAATCAAACCTAGAGGGAGTTCCATTTAGGAAATCAGAACCACCTTTTTTTTCCAGTATTCATGGATGAATGATTAAGGAATTCTGAAGAAAGGTGGTTCTTAAACTATTTAAGTTTTCCTAAATGAACCTGCGGGTTGGGTTTACATCAGACCAAGGGTTTTTCGTGAAACCCGTAAGACCAATTTATGTTAATTGATCAACTTTATAAGCTAATGATTTAATGGTTTAAAGTTGCAAGGCGGCAATTTTGTGATTATTGAGAAGTCTCGTGGCATTTATGAATGTTCAGATTGTCAAATTGTAGATCTAATCCAAGGGTTCAAAGGTCATTTAATTGAAGGACAATGTTGAAAATTGAGTAATCAAAAATAAAAGCAGGTTGCATAAGGATTTGATTTATTAGTTCCTTTTTTTTTCTTATTCTGTTCGCAACAGCATGCAAAGTCAATTTGTGTATCCGAGGCTAGACTTGGGATCATGTGAGACCACCACAAAAAAAAACACTGAACCTTCACAGCAAAACACTTTGAAGGGATAAAAAACATTGTGAAGGTTTGTTTTTGTACATTCACAGTGTTTTTGTTGTGAAAGGTTCAGTGTGTTTTTGTGCCTTCACATCTGGTCATACGGGTCTCACCAAAATAGGTGGTCTCACGGGAACTCAATAAGGATTTAAGTATCAAATCATGAGTTCAGTTTAATTTTTCTTAATTAATATAGATTGATCCTGACCTACAGGCTACAGCTTTAGCTATCTGCATTAAACTCAACATTTGTTATGTTAGCTACATCAAGGTTTGAAATGTAGAGGGTCACCATAAGCAGCTGATACCAACCTCTTAAGCCATCTTCTACATTTTAGAGATCATGGGCCCTTCCATCATTTCGATCGAAGTTTGTAGAATGTTGAGGCAATAATTGTAGTCCTTCATCTTCTTGTTGTGGATAGATAGTTCAGAGATAACCTGGTATAACATTTGATACTCATATATAATGTCTTGTTGTTTGCAGTCATAGATTTAGCATCAAAGGCCGTGTGTATCCTGCGATTCTACCTGTAGAAAACAAGAAAGTTACAGGGAGGGTATGTTCGTTATCCATTTCATGTAGCCTCCGTCTTATGGTCATTCAGTCGTCCTTAATATGAAGATCACATGTTTGTATCTGAACTCATTACTTGCCTATATGAAAGTCATTGGCAGCTAGACATCATTCATACAATGCCATGTATAGTGTCTCATTCTCGAAAACAATGTTATGATATTCGATATGTGTTTAAATAGTCGCTCGATCCCATGGAAATTGCAAAAAGAATTATTTTATTGAAGTCAGATTACAGTTATTCGTTTACCCATCATCATCGTTACAAAATATTTGTGATAATGATTTTGGTGCCTAAGATTCTCTTAATTTGATATTCGATATGTAATTATTACATTTTTTAATCAATTAAATGACAATTTTACCCTTAATAATAGAGTGATGAATTTCTCCATCTAACAATTAAGGGTAGAATTGGAAAGTAGCCACTTAGTTTTGAAAATGGATACTCATTTTAGGACAAACTAAAATAGAAATGTGGACACTTATTTTGAGATGGAGTAGTAAATGACCAAATTGCAGGGGGGCCCCAACACATCGGTACATACACATGGTGTGCTTTTACGATGCTTTCTAGTCGTTTGATTGCAGGTCTTATTGGGGATTACTGCCGCAGAATTAGATATTCTGGATAAATTCGAGGACGTGGAGTATGAAAAGAGGGTGGTTGATGTTTCTTTGCTGGTAGGTACATGAAACCATTATCATCTACAAAATGGTAGCGAAAACCAACTTGCATGATCTGTTTGCAGGATATGTCTGATGCGTTACAGGCTTACACGTACGTATGGGCCAACCCCGATGACCCCAATTTATATGGAGAATGGGACTTCGAGGTATTTTATGATTCTACACAACTTAAAATCGTGGTTTCAGGAGCGATTTAATGTTTGTTTTTTTGGTAGGCATGGAAGGAATCGAAGATGAAAGATTTTGTGAATATGACAATGGGGTTTGTGGAGGAACATGACTCTAAGCCAAGGGTTGCAACCTATGAATCCTACTATAATAATAGGCACAAAGAATGATGGCATCTTTCCAGTTGAATGTTGCTGCTAGCGAATGATCATCGTTAGGTTGCTATTGAGTGAGATATACTGAGTTAGTTTGGTTTATAAACGATAATAGAAAACCTGACTTTGCATTTGCAATGAACATGAATAATTCAGTCCAATCTGACTGACCTCAATATGGGTTTTCGACTAGTGGAATTCAGATGTCTTTGGTATGATCAAATTAATGTTCGTCACAAGACTTGCGAAAATCACAAAACAATCAAAGAGATGCCTCATTCGTCATAGTTTTTAGTTTACCGATCACTTTTTTTTATCATGAAGTAATGTGAAGAAAGGCAGAAACAAAAATGGAAAAGATGGATCATAAATCACAGTGTCTGATCGGTTTGAGCTTGGCTCCAAAGTTCAAATGTACCAGGAGGTTCCAGGTTCAAATCCAATGAGGAATAAAAATCCTCTTGCGACCACGGAGGTTCAAATGTGGTGACTCCAGACTATCTGCAAAGCAGGTGGTTGTCCTGGGATTAGTCATCTCGCATAGCGGGTTGGATATCCAGATTAATAAAAAAAGATGGATCATACTAAATCCAAGCCAAAATGGACACGAGATGAGGATTCCAACTGAAACTTCAACCAAAAAAAGCAAACTCTGTAATCAGGAGTACACTAGCTGGAAATAATTACTACTAGGACCAACGGTTCAATTGCATTCATTCCAGACTAGTTGTGTTTGGTGTTGGATCAAATTCGACAATCAACAAGTCTTTCTAAGTGCTCATTGGCTCGGGATTTGAAGCGTTCAGAATGTCGAGCAACGAATCATGTGCCTCCAGTTCATCATGCCACAGTGGAAGCTTATCACCCGGGTAGAAGTTCCTTGTAACCCCCTCCGAGTTTATCTACACAACACACAAAATATGCATCCATCAGAGAGATACCAACCTACTTAAAGATGCATTTGGGTTCTCAAATTTATATACATTTCGTTGTTTTCATTATATAGGTGTATGTATCCAAAGGAACTTACAATGACAGTGCGAACAACACCCCCACTAGCACCATCTCGTGCTATGGCAAGTGAAACAGCCTTCACCACCAGTTGCTGCAACAAATACGAATTAGCCTCAAAAGACATGTTCCAGCATTTCTATTTTTATGTATGGATCTCATTTTTATATCTATCACATGACGTTACCCCTTAAAAGTGCATTTGTTACGCAGGACAGAACAAAAATTTGTTGTTCCACATTTGGCACGACATTAGACCAGGACTGAGTGCTTTTCTGTGCCACCAAAATAGGCAAAACTAAAATCAAGGAGATAGAAACAAGTTCGGTAAATTACCAAACTACCCATGTCAATTTAAAACCCTAAAACCTTTCGCAATTCTTTCACCTACCTATCTCACCCTGGCATGTCCAGTCCCATGCCATTCATTCCAGTCAAGTCCACATACCAAATGCACCCTAAAGGTTTTAAGTTTCTACAGACCCTAGTTGCACCCTAAAAGCATAATAAGTTTAAATGAACAAGAAACTCTTATCAGGTGTACATGGCGATTGCTTATTCGTGGTCAGACATGACATTATATAAATTTGATGTTACCTCAGCTTCATCCTTGGTCATGCCGTCCTTCCAGGCTTGATCGAAGAACCCGTACAAATAACTGGATCCAGATCCTGCAAAACATTAACCACTGAGCTCAACCCGAAATTTACGGTACCAGAAACTCATTATGGGATAGAAATGGAAGTGCTTTGCATGTATATAACTAACATAAGTATATAATATAACTTCTCTTCTCCTCCCTTCACTCCTAAGAATCCATACTTGATATGTTCTAACCAATATATGTAATGTTAACTGTAATCTTATTGATATCAAGTATTAACATACACCAATGAAGTTGGAAATATACAATGTTAGGGTATAAAAAACATAGTTAGAAATGATGATGCCATTTTCAAAAACAGGCATAGTGTTTGACATGATAGTGGCATAAAAGACTTGAAAGCTTAGGGGTTGAATTTAGGGCTGTAAACGAACCGAATCGTTCAGCGAACTGTTCGTGAACCGTTCGGCGGGAAGTTCGTTTATTTAATAAATGAACGGACATGAACAAATTTTTTTTTGTTTAGTTAAACGAACGAACATGAACAAGAGTCCCATTCGTTCATTTATGTTCGTGAACATTCGTCCATTTACCATTCGTTTACGTTCGTCTATATTCATTCGTTTATGTTCGTTTATATATTAAATTTAATATATAATCTTTTATTTATTTACTTTGAATTCAAATAGTATTTATTTATGTTCGTTTAGCCCGTTCGTTTATGTTCGTTTAGCCCATTCGTTTATGTTCGTTCGTTTATGTTCGCTTAGCATGTTAACGAACGAACATAAACGAACACGAACACACCTGATTTCTAAACGAACGAACACGAACAMAAAGATTTTCATTCGTTTACCATTCGTGTTCGTTCGTTTGTTTGGTTAAGTTAAACGAATGAACATGAACAAGCTTCCGTTCGTGTTCGTTCAGTTCGTTTACAACCCTAGTTGAATTTAACAGGCCCGTTCATATCCTGTGAGATAATTTTGCTTTTGAGACAAGAAAATGGTAAAGAAAGGTTTATATACACAACCTAACGGTCAATTAATAATGAATTAATAAATTGCCCATAAGTATCAGGCGGACGGGCAACGTGTGTTAAAAGAAAATGCAAACAAACCTCCAATCGCGAATGGCTGCTCAATAACTGTTCCACCAAGAGGGATCCCATATATTTTCCCCCCTTCATATTTGTCCCAACCCCCAACAATTATACCGGTTTGCAACATGTTCTGTGAAGTTATGAAACAATAAAAAGAATGTTTAGCAAAATGAAAATTCAGCAAAGCATAGCAACTATGAATCGATTGGTAAAAATATATATCTAGCAAGTCACATATAAAGGCATGAAGTGTTAGGAAGAAAATATTAACATGTAATAACCAAATTCAGTCAATAGAAGAGATGGATGAATTTAACTCTTCCTTAGAAAATTTAATTTTTTTACAATGACCTCTGTGTATAAATGTGCCATCATCATCAGAGGCAAGAAGAGTAACCAGCGAATGATAAAAAAAAAATTATATATATATATATATTAAAAAAAGACAGCACATAGGGTTTGACCACCCTCGACCTTGGGAACATTCTTCACCATAACCGACACACAAGGAAGAGATGATATTGGACAAGGTAAAAATTATGTTGTTCCAATATATTGAGGTCAACTGCATAAATCTCTCCCCATCAGGTTACTCCAGAAACAGTCGTAGATTCTACAAGAATGTAGTTCTTAGTTTCATTAATAGCAATTTCGATTGTGTCATCAACTTCACAACTAAATTCGGATAGATTAGGTCCCACTCTGATACTTCAATACTTCTAATTGGTCTCTCTTATCAACATATTGAATTAGTTTGCCATTTAGTTTGATTGAGTTCACATATGATCAAGTCTAAACCAAAACTGTTAGTAAACGAAGCAAGCATTATGCTAGCAATCAGAGAACAAAAGGAATTCAAACCTTGTTGCTGTAAGATAAAAGTCTAACAAGGTTAGCAGCAACTTTCACAGTAGCAGGTTGACCCAGCTGAATCCTGTTGAAAAACACGGGTCAATAAAGATGAATTCAACTTTTGAAATTTAAATCTACTATCATGCATACAACTCAAGCGGATCGACAGATTCTCTGAAAAAACAGGTGCAATAGTTGCCAAAGAAGACAAATGAGACTCCACTTATCATAAATGCCACAAAAATAGTTAAAGCCCACAAAACTATGAAAAATTGCAACTCCAAAGCTTTAGGTTTATGCCACCTAGAAATTACAAGCGGGTGACTATCTCATGCAGAGATTAATTCAAATATGTATAAAAATAAGTAGGGTTCTATAATGCCAAATCAAGCAGGTTTGAAACATCATATGCAACTTATCTTCATGTGCAAGTCTTAGTTTCTCAAATTTGAAACATGTGTGGCTATCTAACTTTACTAATAAAAAAATTTGATGTCTGGTTATCCTGAAAGTTTTGCATGATTTGGATAACATCTCAATTCAAAGAGGATCCCCTTTATATTCTCCTTAGCATTCTTGCAACCCGTCCTTTCCCTCCTTGTATGTCATTAGGCCTACTCTCTTGATATAATGTTCCAAGCACAAACCATAACAATCATTTGCTTTCGAGGACCACAGTTGTCATATAGATAAAGAGGTTTATGGCCACTAGTCTCAAAATCTACTAAGTCTACTGTATTGCTGTCCACTGTCACCAATATCTATATCTTTTCCTAGGGCTAAATCCTTTTTTTGAAGACAGAAGATAACACACAGCAATTTGGTGATTTTCATCCCACCTTCCTTTTGAACTCTTTACAGAAATACACATTCTTCGACTGTGCCCAAGTTATAAGTTGGGTTAACTATCCATCCATGAAAATGGAAGAAAGTCAACCACGTTTTCAGGAGACACTTGACGAGAGATTTTTTCTTTCCATGGTTCCCTCTTTTCTTCCTTTTTAAGAATATCCCTTTTCCCATAGTGTCAAACCGACAAGAAATACGTCATGCTCTAATCACAGTGTTTTTCTTTTATCTCTTAGATACAAAATTTATTTTTTTCTGTTTAAAATAAAACAAAAACTTCTCAAGAGACTTGGGATGGAGAAGAAGGTAGAGAAAAGCATCTTCATTCTGAACACTTAAGATGCTATATTGTTTGTCTACAGAAGTACAAAAAAGTTCATTTTCATAATACTATTTTAAAATATACAATCTGAAACATACAAACAAAAATAGAAACTGAGGGAGACGGAGAGAAGAGAACATGGCCCATGATTCATGTCGAAAGAAACAAATGTGTAAAGGCTTTTTCCAACTTTTGCATTTATACTTCCAGAAAGCATCTCTAAGCCCGTTTGCTTACTACAAACTGTACATGTATAAATCAGATTGAGTTGGGCAAAAGCATAATGCCAATGTAGTTCTGCTTTGATAGTTCTTTCTCAAGAAAAATGACAGACATGATTCACATATGAATGGATATGTTGAAAACTCAACTTGTAATTCAGGCTCAATCGCAACTTCATATATTAGCTTCATAACTATGAATGTTCTATCCATTAACAAAGAGTAGCATCTTCGTGCAGACACCCTTACAAGACATGCTTGTAATAAGCACCAATACATAAATGCTATCGAAGTTCGAGACTCCCAATCCCCATTCCACCTCAAGGCTGGTTTCTCTTGAAGAGAAAGAAAGATTATGTCGCCTCATGTTATCCTTCTGTCACCAATAAATTGTCTCTCATAATAAACCATGCTAGAAACCTAGAATTGCTAGGAGAAAGAATACCTACGATAATTGCCACTTATACTCGTATAAAGAACATACGATTCAGTAGTGCATACAGTAACATGTGAGTTAGTAGCGCATACAGACATACAGACATTTAGCTCAACATTTAACCAATATAAGAGCAAGAAGAAGCAATGAGTAATCTACTCACGTGTGCTGATGAAGAAAATATCTAACGTAATCCGAGACAATTTGAGAATCTGCGGCCTGCAAAACCAACAAGCCATTTGTTAACTTTGAATGTGTTCCCCAAGAAAGATCTAGCGCTTGTACATCAGGGACAACTGCCCCTGTTTCCCACATGTCATTGCACTTAATAACCAATCTACAGTTTGAAACTTAATGATACATATTTTATTTAAACCCCAAAAATCCACGCTCTGCCAAAATTTATATGCCTTTGGTAGAAAAACATGCAATTGTTCTACTAGCCTTCTAGGAATTGGCCTGGCATGTGATATACTTACTCTCTTATAGCAGTAACACAAAAGGCTGTGTGTTCGAATCTGATCTACAATATTATCATTAATGAGTTCCAATTTAAGTATTTCATTACAATAATTTAGCCCGACAGACAGTAAGGTCATTAATAAACCAGGTACTCAAGTCTCACACCCTTGATGTAACAGAATATAATACCTACACAAATATATAAGGAATATGAGCCAAACAATTCAAACTGAAAAGGGGATCAATCATATGAAAAACCAAATGTGTAAAGAACTGGACATTTCATTGTAAGACACATATCAAGTGAAAAAGAACTACTTGAAGTGAACTTCTCCACTCTCATAATTGTCTTCTTTTGTCAAAGACGGTTAAGTTCATTCCATCTTCTTCTCACAGCCTTGAGAAGTTGAGATTGACCATTTCAGATTGCAAAATGAAATACAAGCTTACAATCAAATATGCAAAACAAACAATAACTTGTTCTGTGACACAAATATCACTAGAATTTTTTTAAGAATTGTACAAACTATCAAGGGATCATGCTTATGGGTCACAAGATAAGAGCTTAAAGCTAAGTTTTATACAACGACATGAAGGCATATCAAGATCAATGCTTGCATCCAAAGGAAGATGGGCAAAAGATGGACATACCACGTATGTGCCCAAAATGAGAAGCAAAAAAGGACAAACTATCCAGGCAGTCACACATAGGACTCTGCAGTGGTCCAAACCAGACCGAACCAGAACCAAAAGGGGTTCACTACAAATAGGAATGCACATAAGAACATTATCCATGTCCAGAGACCTTAAGGGCTAACCTCTTTATGTTATTCTTTTGTTGTGTTTTCTTATCTTTATAATTTCTTTTGGGGTTCATTTAAGGATGACAACTAGGTGTTCATAAAAATATTGTCGCTGACTCGCTGTTGAACTCTATCATAACTTGGTTGGTATTATGCCCCAATGACGTTAAAAGTTCGGTTTGGGCCACACTTTCAGATAGAGTCACACAGACAACGTAACGAAATCAAGAATATCAACAACGATTTAATGTCTAATCTGCAATGATAAGCATACTCACCAACTAAACCTATGAATTATAAAGCACAATTATAGCAAGAACAACAAAATTCAAGCACTAGAGAACATACCGATCCAGAGCGACATATGTAGACATTGTCAGTCAGCTGTGTGATCTTATCAGACGCTCGATTGGCCACATACATCCCTAATTAAGAGGATATTTAGCCAATAAAACAGTATAAAGATTAAAACAAATAAACCAACAAGGTCGGTATTGTCTGTGTATAAATGACAAAAAAGAGAGCTCATTTTACCGGTGCTGGTTCGGGAATCGGCGCCCAGAACAACTCCGCCGTTGTAAGTAACACCGATGATCGTGGTTCCCATGGAGTGAGGAGCGTTAACATCCGCAGTAGCATCGTGATCCATAGTTGTACTGGCAAAGGTTTCTCGGAAGCAATGAAGAAAAAAGCCCTAGCTTGTAGTTGTAGCAATTTGTTGCTTCTCTTCTCTTTTACCGATTTGGGAGTAGCATCCTGACTTTTACAACAAGTTATCCACCCCTCAACTTATGATGTTTTCTCAATTTACCCCCTCACACTTTCGATTTGTTGAATAAACCCCCTACACTACATTATATTCCACAATCAACCCCCGCTTAAATATTTCATCCAATTAATTGATTCATCAACGTGTTATGTTTTCATATAAACTCATCAAAACAAGCTATAAATATTTAAAAGATTTATTAGAAGGATACTCGCACAATATAATAAGATATATTTCAATTTTATTGTTTTGTTTTCTTTTTTGGTCTATATTGATGTTATAATATGGATTTACGTGGTTTTGAGCAAATAATAATATTTTTCTTAATAAAATATAAATTTGAAGATATCATAAAATTTAAAAAATTTAAAAGTTTTCATTTTTTATGTAATGACTTTAATTCAATTTTTTATTTTATAATTTAATTTAGGTTTAATGACGAAGTAATTTATTTTTTAATGAAGATAATAACTAAGTTTTTCTATTAGAGTTCAATAATTATTCTAATTATATTTTTAATTTCATATTTAAAATAATAACTTTATCCTATAGATTTTTTTTTTTTTTGAGTTCCAAGGCAATGTCGTTAGGAATGTCGTTAGGAATGTGCTTAGGTTTATTTTTGAAGCCGCTACCAACAGGTATGATCCCCCCCAGAACAACGTTTTATATTTATCTATAGTTATTTATACGGATTCAAACATAGAGCTTAATAAGTTGTACTTACGTACAATTTACGATCTTAAATTTTAAGTAATATACATCAATAAATAGTGATTCATATATAAAAAATGGTTTTAAGAGTTTTTATCAAATACTTTATAATATAGTATAGATAAGTAGGTCTTATTTAATTTTTCGTCTTTTAATATATATTCAACATTAATTTATATTTTTTTATGCTATTACTTATCATAAAAAGCTATAAATTATCATAAAACATTATGCCTATTCAATAAAAATGTATTAATTAACATAAGTTTATTGAAAAAAAATTAAGAAAACCTTAAAATGAACATAATTAAATCACGGTACAAACTAATAAATTCCTATTAATAATAACTGGAGTGGGTAAAAAAGATACGTCACATATCAAGTAAAACTAGTAGTTTTCTTTACGAATTATAGAATATTGGGTCAGGTTGACCCCTAAACACTTTTTTTTAATCTTATAAATAATTATACTGCAGGTCTTACTGTAACTGGTTTATCTGAAAATATACAATTTGATTCAAAAACTTTATTTTATTGATCATTCTCGTACCCGCTCCTCTAGCTAATTATCCACCATTTCCAAGTGGATAAGGATTTTTGTTGATGACTCTAAAACTGGCCTAGAAAGCAATTTGAGAGTCTGCTTAGCTCAGAGGTTAGAGCTAAATATTAAACAATGATATTTATTTTTATTGTTCATGCCTTTTTTGTTCATGGTTCGATATTCTGGACATAAGTAAGCAGTTATTATTGTATCGACCCAAAACCTCGCTAATTTACATCTAGGTTTTACATTTCAACACTATAAGCAACCCCCAAATTTATACAAGCAAAACAACTACTATACATGCTCTACTTGTGCAACCAAAGTTCACATTGAATATACACAAAAATAGAGAAGCCTATAGAAAGCTATTTGCATACATCTTACTCCCAGGACCCCACCTCCAAGTAGGATTTACTGGGTTCGTTTGTTTTGGTTTTTACGATGTCAGGGTCTGCCACCAGCAGCTACCTTCTTCGGATTTTGAGATCCACCATCGCTAGAAGATCCGGCTTCTGATACATCATCAACATCTGAGGAGTTCGGGGGATTGTCTGAGAAGTCATCACTCTGCAGCTACGGATCTGCAGATAATCGAGTTACAAAAAAGAACGGGCAAAGAACACAGAGTTTGATCAGATATCGAATCAAAATGAAATTAGATCACAAATATCATAGCAGATACTCAATTTTACAAACCATATTAACATTTATTTAGATTAATAATTTCAAGCTAAAATTTGATCTATGCTCATTGTCATCATTGCAATTACTGATGTCATTGATTTTTGTCCATCAAGATTTCCACAGTTTGGCGCTAACTAACGGTATTTTAGACATTCGGATACTCAAAAACAGTCCTTAAACTCTGCTCCAGTTCAAGCGATGCAATTTTTTGTGGGAATGAGAGCGTAAAAAGCAACAAGTAGCATTGGACAAGCAAATCACAACTGGAATCATCATCAGGGTGCGTTTGGTATGCAGTACATGACAAAACATAATATTTGGATCAATATTAGACTGAGACAAAACGGGATTGCTGGCACAAAAATTAGGCAGATGCTACAAGATTGATAAATTAGCATCTTTTAAACATGCAGTATAAATGCACAAAATATAAGATAACCGTGATGGAATCAAATTGAGAATATAGAAAAAGCACCTTCAATCTTGAGGAGACAATTCTTAACATTCTTGATGCAACCATTGCAATGCAAGTTCATCTCCAACGCGATCTCTACCAACTTCAGTGTCTATAGCACACATCACATGTGAATTAAGTCACTAGAAATTCTATAAACCCAAGTACAAGTATCCAAAAGTATATAGACTACATCTGGGAATTGTTTACACATATATACCCGATTGAAATAACGTTTAATGATGCCAATGATATATACACATATAGATCAATCTACTGGTATTCAAGGAGCTGTTTGGCAATTGCTGAATGGTTTGGTGCATGATTTAGTGGTCAGAATGATTAAAAGGCTTTCATGATATAGTGCAAAATGAAATATAATTGTTTGGTAATTGTGTACAATGAAATTAGGGCTCTTAATGGTTAAGGGAGATACATGATATAAAATCATTCAGAGGGTTTTAGAACCATTAAGAGACAGACTTTTTTTTTTGCCAAACAAGATTCACCTCTTAACGATTCAGAGGTTGCCTCTTAAGGGAACTATTAAGGGTAACTACTGTTACAACAAATGGTAACTACTGTTGCAACAAATGCACTTGTTAGAGAGAAAAGGGGAGAGAATTGCATTGCCGAACCCGATGATTTAGGAATTTACTGCATTAGAAACCAGACTCGCCCATCTTGTTTTACCTTCGGGGCCGTTTACCAACACAAATTTTGAAAGCGCTAACCGGGTAAGAGCGGTGTCTAGGTTAGCACTGATCACTGACCAATTAAGAGCCCCTCCCTTAGCTTACCATGTCAGCATCATGGACCAATAAGAGGGGCTTGGTAAACATCTCTGACAGGGTAAGCGGGTAGGAGGTGGTAAGCAGATAATAAGTAGATTGCCTGCTTCTAAGGTGCAGGACCACCCGTGCAAATTACATATTCTTTGAATACGAATTAGGTATTACTAAACAGATTTTATGGGATCCTAAAACAGCCGTCCTACTCCTTGAAATGGAGGTCATCTCTGTGTACATCCACCCCCAAACCCCACTTCCGGGTGGGCATAATGGGATCGTTTCGTTTCGTTTGGTTCATTTTGTGGGATCCTAAGTGCATATGGGATGGGATTTGCAGATGTTATTAAAGAAGCACAAGAGCCTTAACCTGCAGCTTATGGCCATGCATCATCATAGATGGTGCATAGCACAGAAACCAAATAATTAGAAGGCATGTCATAGATGTAATATAGCTCATCTTTTCAAATTTGTAAAGAATGCCATGAATTTAACTTACCCGTTAACAAAAAGGCTTCTAGATTCACCGAAATCCAATCTCACGGCTTAAATCTTCTCTGTTTTTTCCTCCACCACGAAGCACCAACTCTTCTTTTGCAACCATTCAATCATCCTTCATCCAAGTTATCCACGATGCTCGATCTATATTCATCTCTTTTTAATCGAAACATTTTTTCATTTAGTTCATCTAGCTTCACTCATTGACTGCAAATTTTCGTTGTAATTCGGTCACCAGAAGATTATTCCCTTCATTCATGGCAGCACGTATAAGAATACCATAAGTTCTTGCATCGGGTGACAACCCGTAACTCTTTAAATTACTAAAAACCTGATAGGCTGCTCCAAGCTCGCGATTCTTGCAAAGAACGACCATAAGAGTATTAATGGTCACCATTGAAGGGTGTGGACCATGAGAGATCATATGTTCAAAAAGCTTTAAGCAATCGTTAATGTTGCCAATATTGCAAAAATATTGCATTAAACAAGTGAAACCCACAACATTTAGCTTAACACCTTCATCTTCCATCAGGTTGAGAACCGTCTGAACCATTATAGAGTCGCCCCTTTTACACGCAACTGACAACACCGTGTTGAAAGATACCATGTCAGGCCGCTTTCCAGGCCACTCAACACGTTCAAAGAACTCTAGAGCTTTATCCACGGTTTTCTCCTCACAAATTCCTTTCAAAATCGTGTTGAATGTTATGTTGTTTGGCTTGATACCATCTTTTTCCATACAACTAATCATAAACAACGATTCTTTAAATTCACGAGCACGAAACAAACAATGGAGGTACACATTATAAACTGCAACATCCACATCACTATCGCTCGATACAATATCCCGCAAAAGATTGAGAGCAATCCCTATATTACCCCTTTTGAGTAGTCCTGAAAAAGCAGTAGCTGTATAGTTATCTGGAGAAAGACCCTTTTGATAGATGGTATGATAAAGATTGTAAATTTCAAGAACCAGATTTTTGTGAGAAAGTGCACGGAGAATTATGTTATACGTAACAATATCCGGATCAAATCCTTTTTTTTCCATTTCTCCCAATGCGCATAATGCCTCTTTTATTCTTCCGCCATCACACAAACACTTAATAATCGTGGTGTACGTTTTAATGTTAGGATAGCAACCACCATCAACTTCCATTATCCTCAAACAACCAGAAGCCTCCTTAAATAACCCTTTTTGACCAAACCCATAAACAAGAGCGGTATATGAACACACATTATGTACAAGACCCTTCTTCTTTAAAGAACAAAAAAAGGCTAACGCACCACTGATCTGATCAGACTTGCACAAAGACCATAATATCGGGTTGTAAACATATGGACTCTGAAAATTGCCTATCTCCAACAGCTTAAAGAACACGACGCAAGCATCACGTGTCATCCCACATCGGCTAAGGCTATTAATTAACAAAATCACTTTCGGTTCCGTGGGAATGTAATTCAACCCCAGCATCAAATCCAGCACTCTAAGTCCATCTACTAACTCCATGGAATCCAAACATTTCTTAAGCAAATTCGATAAACAACTAAACGAAGGCGTAAAGCCATAATTACACATTTCCACAATAACTGAAATAGCAACTTTTGATTCCCCAAGAAGACTCAAACCCTTCAAGAAAGTATTGAAAGTTGATGCATTTGGGTGTAATTCAACCCTTTTCATTTCAAAGTATAACCCACAGAGATCATGTAAACCCACTTTATTCGACTTCAAATAACAATTTATCAATGAATTGTAATCATATACCGTTGGCTTACCAGATACATTTCTCATGAGATGGAAAATCTCTAGTGCTTTACCAATACTACCTGACCTGGTTAAATTCTGCATTTTTGTCCTCAATTCACCATAATTTGGGCAATGGGGATTGTCTTCTTCTGCCATATCTAGTGATTGAACAACAGAAGATGATGATGATGATGAAAGAGACATGAATTGAGAGAAAAACTGAACCTTTTTACAAATTCTCTTAACTGGGAAAAAGATCATTGTTGGAGAACCCACACTAAGAAATTACTAGCGTGTAACAAGGGCCAAAGACCCATGCTTAGTTCTTGATGAATTGAAGCAGTTAACGATAAAAGAGTACTCTGGATTGAAATGGGTATGAATGTGTTTGCAGTAATTAGCTGAATAACAACATAGAATTGAGACCTGAAGTCAATAAGGACATGGACGCAGAAAAACGAATCGAAACCGAAGCTAATGATGAAGAGAAGAGAAGAGAAAAGAAAATTGAAAAGGGGTTAGGGTTCGTTGAATTGATTTGGGTTTGTGGTCTTCTAACCTTTTCCCGCCACTCTGTCTGCCGGAGAAGAAAGCATAAACCCTAATCGAAAACTTATCTTGACAGTAAAACCCCAAGAAAAACTTGATTAGAGTGGCTAGGATTATGAGCATTCTTTGCATATATGGCCATTGCCCAACATGAAATTGCAAGACTTGAAAGCTTATTTGCGTATACAGGCTGCTAATGATGCAAGGGGCATGGCCGTATAGGTTTCGTGCTCGGTATACAAACTTCTTTTTTCCTTTTTTAAGCCACACTATTTGGTGTTTTTGATTGTTTATTTAAAATTATTTATTGTTTTCTATAAAATCACTTATTTATACTATATTCTAAAGTATTTGACAAAAACTTTTAAAAATTATTTTTTATGTATAAAATACTGTTTATTAATGTATATTACTTAAAACTCAAGATTGTAAGTAGATTGTGCATAAGTACAACTTATTAACACTCCATATCTGAATTCGTGTAACTAATTGCAGATAAACATAATCAAATACAGGATAAACATATCATTTTAAATATAAAAATATAAAATATAATTAGGATAATTATTGAGTTCTAACAGAATACTTAATTATTTATACTATATTATAAAACATTTGATAAAAACTCTTAAAAATAATTTTTTATGCATGAAATACTGTATATTTATGCATATTACTTAAAGTTCAAGATTACAAGTAATTATGTATAAGTACAATTTATTAAAGCTCTATGTTTGAATTCGTGTAACTAACTGCGGATAAACATCTCATTTTAAAATATAAAAAATCTAAAATATAATTAAGATAATTATCGAGTTTTAACAAAATAATTAACTATTATATTTATAAGAAAATTATATTACTAAACCAAATATAAATTACTTCGTTATTGAACTTAAATTAAATTATAATTAAAAAAATTTATTTAAAAAACAAAAAAAGAGAAATTTTAAATAGTTAATTTGATACTAATATCGATATAATTTTGTCATATTTTTATGATATCTTCAAATTTATATTTTATTCAAAAATAAAAACATAATCGTTTTTTCAAAATCACATAAGACCATATTATAACATCAATTAAGATAAAAAAAAATGAAATATTAAAATCAAGATGTATCTCGCTGCATTGCGCGAGTACCCTTCTAGTCAATTTATTATAAGTCAAGAGGATTTAACTTTTTCAAAAACTCCTTATTACCGGTTTGGCACTGGTATAAGTTATTTATCCAAACACTCAAAAGTGTTTATTACCGATGACACACCGAAATAAGTCAACAAGTTGTTTTTATAAGTAATCCCAAACACCCAATATATATATATATATATATATATATACGAAAAATAAAGTCGAACATACTTCTGACCTTTACGTTGTGGAAAAATAATGAAAATTTACTTCTAAAACAAAACTTTCCTTCCAAACGTGTGAGGAAAAGAAAGACATTAAATCATTTTTAAAAATTAATATAATTACAAAATTACTCAATCTTTCATTCTAAAAGATATATTTATAAAGGGTATATTAGTAAAAATGACATTTTTTTTTCTTTCGTTTCACTCTTATTCAATAACATGAAAAATTATTTTAGAAAAAAAAACTATTTTCTTTCCATTTCTTTTCTCGTCAATTACGAAAACATAATGTTAGTGAGGTTTAAACTTTCGACCTATTGAGATACACAAATATTATTACACTTACATTAAGAGCAACTTCAACCCCAACATCAAAAAGACTGTAAATTGGTGGGGCTATGGACACCAAAAATCACCTCATCTCCATAAAAACGATATTTATGTCGTTTGAACATTAGGCTGACATATTTATCATTTCTTTCGTGTCACGGGCAAACTTAATTTTTCTTTGTCATTCGGCATGTTTAAAAAACTAGCAAATTAGCTATTTTAGATTGGAGTTGCAAAGGCCTTTTTTATTTCCTCTTCTCAAAGCTATCCATCCCTTTTTTGGATGGGGTAATTGCGGATTTCTTTTACTTTTGTTTTATTTAACAGCCTTAATTTTCATTGATTCATGTTTATGTATGATGTTTTGTAGAATTCAGATCTAACAGTAAATCAAGAACAAATCATAATTGAAAGAGATTGAAGATGAAGATGATGAAACCGGCCAGATTAAATTGTTAAAAGCAAAAAATTACAATCTCTCTCTCACACAGTTAATCGACTCTCATTGGAATGACTAAAATGAACAACAGAAATTATCAACTTTAATTCTAAGCTCATGTCACCTATTTATATATAACATTTAAAAGTAAAGTCCAATGTCCTTAAGCACAATTACATGAATATTACAATATAATACAAAATAATTGACTTTATAAAACTTTCATAAACTTAGGCCTATTTTAGTCCGTAACCTCATAATTATTGTTGGCCCACAAGCAACTAATTCATCCAACTTTATGGATAGAAAATAGTGTGAGTTTCGTGACATTCCATTGCAAATAGTCTTATAACAAAGAATTTTTCAGTGAACCACGAGTTGAATAAGCATTCAGCTTATAAATTAGGGTAATAACATTTGCTTGAAGCACCAAAGCAAACACCTTTGACATTAAGAACCGGAGAAAAGAATCAACATTAAGCACATAGCTTCAAGAACAACAAGTCAACCCAGATAGATAAGCCAATTTGCTTTAAACTTTCAGAAGACTGAATAACCAGAATCAGACCAAAATTCCCAGCCAGAAGAGTGATTATAAGCACTCAGAACTCTAGTTCACAACCATAACATCAGAACAATGATTGTAGACTTTCAAACCTCTAATTGATCATGTTAGAAGAATGACTGAGAACACTCAAAGATCTAATAATTTCCATAACCTCCAGAACACTGATTGCAAACCTTCAAGACCTCTGATTGATCAAGTCAAAAGAAATGAGTGAAGGCACTCAATGGTCTAGCCTCTTGTAGGAAAAACTCTAGAGTAACGGTTGTAGATACTCAAACTCTGACTAGTCCAATCAAATACCGAGGCCAATCAAACAGTCCTGAAATCTTTTCAAATCCAGCTTTAAACACTAATCTCAAAATGGTTGACCAAAAATCAAATTTTGACTTGAAAAGTCAATGTTGACAAAATTGTCGTAAGATGCTCTTAAGGGCAGAAATGATAAAATACCACCTTTATTATTAAGCACAAGGTGATCTGGACAAAGAAACTCATTAAGCACACTTAATAAGCACGTAGAGTCGAATGAACAAGTACTTGGATGATGAGTGATGAGCATAGACTATGATATCTCGTCGTTCATGCCTTAGGCAAAGAGGGCATGAACCTTGGCATATCGCCCACGCCTTGGCCGATGAGCAAGGTTTATCGCTCAGACCTTTTGGGCGGAGAGGACTGTACTCGTCCATCTCTTGGGCGGATACACTTCAAACTTCCTTCCATCGCTCATAATATAAGGATCACCGCAATAAACTTTGGTTGGTGAGAGGGTTATCGAGCAACATTATTGCCCAAGATAAGTAACAAGGCAAAACTGTTAAGGAAAGGTCATCGCCCACTAAGCAACTCTTCATCGCCTGGTGTGTTAGGCCATGAGGACCCTTATCGCTCATAACATTGAACGGATACCAACTTGAAAGCACATGACCTGGATGATGAGCTTGGTCTTCGGGCAAGCTTTGGGCGATGAGCAAATGTTATCGCTCAAAACTTACAGAAATACATCCAAGTCCAAAAGGTTATCGCTCAACAATAATTTACAAAGTCAAGTCACCAACAATTACATTCTAGTCGATGAATACTCTTACATCGCTCAATCTAGCTTCAAATCTTCAATGGGCGATGAAATCCCCTTATCGCTCATCAAGAACATTTATCGAGCGATGAAGATGAATATGACAGTATCAAAGTGCAGTCGACTAAAATCATCAAATTAATCAAAATTCACAAATAAACTTCAATTTGATGATTAAAATAAGTTTGTATTCACCAATAACCAAATCTTATAAAAGGCATTTGATCAAAACATTGAAATCAATGGTGAATTGTGATCTTTTAAGAACAAAACATCGAACAGGAAGTCTGAGTTCATGAGCATTATTCCATTGCTAAAAATAGAAAAATAACTTGAATTTGCTGCAGATTGAATGATCGTATCGATAGAAATTAACCGATTCTGCTCTGATATCAATTGTAGATCCCAGATCTAACAACAAATCAAGAACAAATCATAATTGAAAGAGATTGGAGATGAAGATGATGAAACCGGTCAGATTCATATTATTGAAAGCAAGAAATTGAAATCTCTCTCACACAGTTTATCGACTCTCATAGGAATGACTAGAATGAACAATTGAAATTATTAAGTCTAATTCTAAGCCTATATCACCTAATTATAGGTGACATTCACAAGGAAAGCCCAATGTCCTAAGCCCAATTACATGAATATTACAATAAAATACAAAGTAATTGACTTTATAAAACTTTCATAAACTTAGGACTATTTTAGTCCTAACATTTTTTTACAAGATATTTTGGTTTTTGTCTCTTCTACTAACAAACATTAAGTTTTTATGTAAATTTCAATTAAATAAAGATCATTCTGATTATTTTACCTAAAAATAAGGTTTAGATGCGTTGATCTAGTGTCGAAATCAGGAGGATCATTTTACATGTCTTTTATTTATTTAAAATAGAAAGAAAAAAACAAAATAATCAAAATATCTTTTATTTAACAGAAAACTTAAGAATCATTATTGGAAGAGATGAAGTTTGTTTTCACATGCATCGAATTGATGATGGTATACCTGTTTTAGCATAAGCTGACTATCAACGTGTATCTCAAATGACTGACATCACAAACATATGATTGTTAACTGTTAAGGGATCTCATGAGTAAGTAATTATATGTAAGGAATAATAACACGCGACATTCCAAGTTAAGAGAATTAAGACAGACTCGTTTGGTTTGACAAAATGTTTTCAAGGGATTTGAATTTCATGAAAGGATTTAGAGTATTTAATGTGTTTGCTTTGTAGGATTTTGAACGGAATTGAATTCCATTTTTTTT